TACGTGATAAATCTATTCGCGGAAACAGTGATGCAACAGTTGCTACCGGGGAAGTACGTGAGCTACTCCTCGAATCGTTGGGACAGCTTGCCAGGGAGCCGACTTTCATGGTTGACCTTTGGGTTAACTATGACTGCGATGTTGACTGTAGTAATCTGTTCGAAGATGTTGTCGCGTTTTTAAGCAGGGTACGTCTTATAACTGATTTTTTTTTTGATTGACATTCACACGATTGAGACTACTCAACATATCTTTGCACATTGAATAGAATTCATTCCCGAACCCAACTCTCTATTCTGCAAGCAATTCACATCTGTTGTGTTTAGATGCTCTTTTAATGTATGTGAACCATATGGTTGATCGATTACAAACGGAGGTATGTTAGTGCACAGGGAATGTTTGTACGATAATATTTGGTCAACTATATTGGAAAACGCTATGTTTTATCTTAGAAAAATCACAAAGCCGCCTCAAACTCAGGATTATCATGGAAAGAACTATCTGCATCAGATTACAGTCTTGGACTGCGGCCATCGGTACGGTAATCTCTTTTTGATTAGGCATGTGTGAGCCTTATGCTTGAACTAATTAGGAGGTTTGAATTGCAACTGCTACCAGGTGTACCCTTCGCCTGTTGAGCTATTGGAAAGGAGAAAATGGAAGCAGATCTTGTTGGAGGGGGCAGCGAAATTTAACGAAACTCCAAAAGCAGGTCTCGAATTTTTGGAAGGTTAGTGGTTTTAATTTGTCTTTTGTTACCATAGTATAACTCTTACACATAGACTTTGCCCCAATTAGCGAATGGTGTCATTTACGACGACCCATCTGTCAATAGGGAAACAAGCCTTGCTAGTTTCTTGAAATCTACGCCGCGATTAAACAAGACAGTATTGGGGGACTTTCTTTCAAAACCATCAAACATCGAAGTACTAAAGGCCTTTGTTCGACTTTTCGATTTCAAGGGGGTAAGTCTAGACAACTATCATGGCCATTTTTCTTTATAAACTAAGCCTATTCTGAATCCAGAAAAGAATCGATGAAGCTATGAGAGAAATGTTAGAATCTTTCCGACTGCCAGGAGAAGCTCAGCAGATTGAGAGAATAATGGAGACTTTTGCAACAGCTTATTTTGCCTCGGGTCCACGTACGTGTTTGATCGCTTGTTATCGATAATTTATCAGTAT